ATTTTTATGGTCTTAGACCAATTTCTTGATGCTGCTTCTTCACATCAACCTTATAACAAAGAGCCATACCACTAGGTGGCACTACGCTCAAATTTTTATCACCAATGCAGTTTGTTTTTCATGTACTCTTTGAACATAAGTTACATTACTTGAAACATTTGTGATAGATGATATTGTATTACATTTGAAAATATCTTCCCTTACCATAACTTTTGTACTTTTGATTTGGATTAAGTGTCCTGTATCTCTTCCTCAGCTTTTTTCAAAATCTGTTGTCGATGTGGCGCCGAGTACAAGATAAATGCTAACGGCAGCTGTGTGCGTAAGGAGGAGTGCAGTCACCACTGGGGAAGATTACGCAGAAACAGAGGTTGGTATGTGTACGTGTGAGACAGGATGAGACAGTACAACTGCGACAGTACATGTCATTTCAGTGACATGTTCAGCTGACATGTTTTGTGTCTTACATAGTTCCAGGAGGTTGGGAGACACTTTACAACTGCTGCTCTGGTGCAGTTGGTTCTCCTGGATGTGAAGTGTCTAAAGTAGGTATCATTGTGGATCTGCAAAAATTGGATCTCCCACAATCATTTCCTAAATCTAAAATAAGACGTTCTCCTAAATCTGAACCTAAAATAAGATTTCAGATTTGCTATGTTAACATATAATGAATTATGTATTATAGATAATATCAAGTAAATGTAGTTGCATAAAAACACAGATTTTATATTTCTCAAAACTGCAAACGCTGAAATGCCGAAATCATTGCAAATCTGCAATAATAAAACAACTCCTCTCACACTCATCTAATAAAATATTGTGTAATTGTGTTAATAATGTGTAGTTTTTATTTCTTTTATTTATGATTTATAATTTATTTTCATGCCATATATATATCCTTTGATATGGCGATAAATAAATTCCAAAATAAATAGACTTCAATTTACATACGTATTTATGTTTTTGCTGATAACAGGCATATTTCTGTGAGGGTACAGAAGATAAAACAGTTTGTACACACTGCCTTAAGGGGGTGTCTTTTAGGTTCAGAAGTCTTTTGCTAGTTGAATCCGCTGGTTGATGGAGGCAAAGCTTTTAATAAGGTGTTTAGAGTAAGTATTATAGCCTACTAAAAAACATGTTCAGTAATGTGTCTCTGAAAGATTAGAATACCTGCTTTTACTGTTCCCTTTTCCTTCAGCAACATGTACAAGATGGGCGTAAAGAGTCCTTGGATGGTTTTGTGAAGACTTTTAGCAAACCATTGCCAGTAGATGGAAATGGAGGTGTCTACGCCTTGGACTGTGAGATGGTGAGAATAACAGTTATTCAAATACTCCCACACTAGGTGGATGTAAAAAGCCTCATGAAGAAAACAGGATGCGGACTAAAGTCTATATTGTTTCTATAAAGGTGATATTAAAGATACTACAAGCAGCTCAATTAAATTCTTTTCATCTCAATACTTGATTTATAGTGCTACACAAAACAAGGTTTGGAGCTGACCAGAGTGACCGTCATTAACTCTGACCTCAAGGTTATTTATGACACATTTATCAAACCTGGCAGCAAAGTGGTGGATTATAACACACGGTAGGATTTGTGTTAAGAGATCTGCCATTCATTTGCCTTTCAGTTGTTCTAGTTTCAATTACACCCGTTTCTCATACGTCCAGGTTTTCAGGTGTGACACAGGATGATCTGGAGAACACCACCATCACCCTGAGAGATGTGCAGGCCGTGCTGTTGAGCATGTTCAGTGCAGAGTCCATTCTAATTGGACACAGTCTTGAGAGTGACCTGTTTGCTCTCAAGGTTCACACAAACACTATTTGTACTATCTTTATAATAATCCAAAACATAGTGTGTTGCCTGCCTAGATAGTATTTTTAGGAATTTCACGTGTGCTTGTGATACAAAGGCTGGTTCAAACAGCAGCTTAATAAAATACCTAAATATTCTAAGCTTGCAAAAGTACAGTGGGTACGGAAAGTATTCAGACCCCCTTAAATTTTTCACTCTTTGTTATATTGCAGCCATTTGCTAAAATCATTTAAGTTAATTTTTTTGCTTCACCTTCTTACCTAGCTGTTGAAGGAATGTTTTATAATAATTATTATAATAATAGTATATTATCAAACCCACATAATAGCATGTGACACATAGAGGCTCTAAATAACATGCTCTGGACTGTCTTTGTGTTTCATGTCTCGTTTCCTGTCTCTTTACAGTTGGAGGGCATGACTCCAGTGAAGATGCCCGGGCCTGCATGGAACTCATGATCTGGAAGATCAAAGAGGATGCCAAGGTGAAGAGATGACCCCTGACCCTGCCAGTTCTCTCACACTATGTTATGACCTGGAATGATTATCGATGAACAGAGTGTCATAGAGGAAGAGTCACTGAAGCTCTTCATAATGGGCAGTGCGTCACTTGGGTCGGATAAACTGCATCAGAGTAAATGCTGCAGTTTGAATGAGGGGGGAAGAAAGAGATGGACTGACAGGAGGGATAATGTGATAGATTGCAAAGCCTAGACCACCATGGCTCCTAGCAACCAGAGCTCTAGTGCCCTATCAAACAAGCAATCTTAATTCCCACCATGCTAAAACTGACCTAGTTTTGGCCAATATTTTCACAAGTGGACATAGATTGAGGTGAGGGTAATTGACCTTTTGTTGAGTTAAAGTATTCTCTATTTTTTTTCAGCTGTACGTTTATGTTTTCAAAGACCCTAGTCCCCCAGATCATCAATTGTGAGGGTGTTTTAATGTTCACTTTAGGTGATGTGGCTCTTGGAAGGTCTATGTGTTGCACTCGAAGTTACTTGAAATCATGTTTTTCAGCACAGATTTGATGTCACTTCCTCTAGTAATAATGTATAGCAATCCATATAATCAAAGATGCTGTCTTGTCTAGCTCCGAATGAGTAAAACTAGATCATTCTGACATTTTCATGACCCAATGCCTTGTAAACCAGACTCAGTATTATTATCTGTACTCCAATTAGTACAATTTGTTTACACATTCAAATGTGTTGGTGATTTGTTCACACAAATCATGAGCTGGCAGGACAATATGAAAATTTTTTTTTTTAACTTTGATTTACTTTTTAATTTACTTCCATTTGTATTAAGTTTAAGCTATTAAATGCAGTATATTGTAAACTGACATACTAAATGTCACATCATGCATGTTGGCCTGCCACTTTTAAACACATTACTGCTACTAAAAACACATAACTTTCGATATTTGTCAAAACAAAAGATCAAGATGGCTGTACAGTGATTTGTAATGTTATTAAATGACATTAATGCCACGAGCTGTAAATAAGTTGTATTTAAACTGTTTTTGTAGCCGTTTAGTTTTTCTAAAAAAGCTATAAATAAAACACAACTCACACATATTTATACAAAAATTTTATACCCACCTTAGCATTCATATATATTTATTTTTATTATATATAAAATATTGCATATTTTAAAAAGTATATACATATACACTACTGTATAAATGTTTGGTGTCAGTATAAGATTTCTTAAAGAAATTATTTTATTTAGCAAGGATGCTTCAAATTGAACACAACTGAAGACTTTTATTTATCAAGTTCTATTTCTGTTTCAAAAATTCTGTTAATAAATGCTTTTGAACTTTCTATTCATGTTGATAATCATAAAAAATGTTTCTTGAGCAGCAAATCAGCATATTAGAATGATTTTCGAAGGACTAAAGACTGGAGTAATGGCTGCTGAAATCATAAGAGACCTTTCTTGCACAAATATATAAATAAATACATAAATAAATAAACATATCTTACTGACCCCAAACTTTTGAACACACACACACACACACACATACATATAATATATATATATATTATATGTATGTGTGTGTGTGTGTGTGTGTCACCATGTGTATTTCAGCAGCAAATGGGCAGGTGAACATGTCCAACTAAATTCTAAACACACACGGATGTCAAGTCTTTCTTTGAGAATATTCTCTGATCTTTTATCCTAACCTGTCTGTTCCACTTCACCATCATCCTCCAGTTATTTTGTATGTCTATATATGAGACCTTTTCTAGCAGGTGCCTGACTAAGAACTCTTTCTTCAGCAGCTGTTTTCTCGGACAACAAAATGACACAAAGAGGCATAGAGGGGAGGTCTATTGTATCCCGCTCACCCCAGGCCCATGTGTTTACCCTGGGCCCCAGCCAGCTCATGTCAAAGTCCCGGACCCAGGTATTAAAAACTGCGGCAGGATCAATATCTCGCACAATGTCCGGGTGGCCGGGAAGGGGGGCGGCTCTCACTGTGTTTATGGAGTGATTTAAAGATTTGAGCATGTGCAGTGAAACAGCTTAAAGTCTTGTTCATTATCAAGGTCGATCAGTCGCTCGCTCTTCTGATCACCTTTGACTGCTGGGGGTCACGAGAGAGAGGAGTGCTGCTCATGGCCAAATGGTAGTGTTTTGCCATTTGGTTTGATGCTTAGTAATCTGATGCACTGACATTCATATTTTTATATGATGAGGTTTATATTATAATATGTGTTTTGTGAGCAACACTAAGCACCAAGTAAACTGGTCAACACCTCCAACACCAGAGAATGGTATATGCTGATTGCATATCATATGTCATTAGCCCATTGTACAATCTTGTGACCTAATTAGGTGATTGATCCTCAAGTTATTTCCAATAATGATCTGTTAGGCTTAAGATAAGCCAGACTCGTGCCATGGTCTGGTATAAAAGGTTTTGTTTTTAGGTTTGGGTTCACAGAGATCAAAAAAGTGTTCACTTGAGTGTCTGATGCTTGTAGGGTCTTGTTAGTGCAAATTATTATCAGTGCGTGTGTAACATCCACAGCTCTGTTTTGTATATGAGATTTCTATTCTAGATTAATTGAGTAACTGTTAACATTTTATTTCAGAACATGGTAGTTTATTTGTTTGTTTGTTTTTTTTTGTCATCTTTGGGTCAATATCTGTAAAACATAGATATTTAGCTTTGTAATTATTTATGCAGTTCAGTCTGTGCTGAAAGATCACCGAATCATTCACTATCGACTAATTATATTGTTTTTATTTTTGAATTTGAACGCAACATGGGTGTTTGTTGTGTGTTAAGTGGTTTGGGATAGTTATTTTATTCTAGATTATTTTCTATTTGTTGTTCTTAGAGATTTGTTTTAATTGTTAGAAATATTTCTCTGAGACATCTTAAAGAGGAGATCTTACTGGACTTATTTGAGATAACAAACTTATTTGAATTTGGCCATGAAAACTTCCTCAGCATGTTGGTTTCATTGTTTTGCAATTATTTGGTTTTAAATTTTCAAATTTTAACTTCTAAATGAAAGATAGACAGACAGACAGACAGATAATTTTATAATGAAGTGTTAGAGCAAATATTCTTCTTAATATCAACCCCCCCAATATATATATATACAGTGGGTACGGAAAGTATTCAGACCCCCTTAAATTTTTCACTCTTTGTTATATTGCAGCCATTTGCTAAAATCATTTAAGTTAATTTTTTT